TTTAAGAAATAGTAATTTATTAGCACAACATGCAGATGAAATTCAGCTCCATGCAGCATCCTTGTACATAGCACTTCGCAGCTATTAAACCCGTCACATAGGTCCTAATTTGCACACAGGCCTTTATACAGCCCCTTCTGCAGTGGCACAAATTCCTCTGAAGAAGAAAGCTGATGTTAGTGAAACACCGCTTGCTTCCTAACTTATGTTTAAGAGGAAAACAGGTAACTCTGAACTTCCTGATTTGAGTAATTCACTATGCCAGCAAAGATCTGAATCCAAGCACAGGCAGTGACAGCAGTTCAGATGATGAGAGGAAAGTTTGTAGTAAGGGATCACAGCCTCTGGAAAAGCAGGCTCCTGCAACTGACTCTGTAATACCACGGGATGATAGTTCCCTCCTGTAAGTAGAGATTCTTGCCTTACAAACATACCTGCCTAAGAGAGAGGCTTCAGGAAATCTGTTATGGCAAGATACCATCCCTCTATATCAACACACACCATGCTTTGTCTTCTCTTAACTCGGTCAAGGGCAGTTACCCACTACTCCTCAGCCTAGGGAGGCACCAACATTTCAAATGCACAGGGCTGGAACCGGAGGATGGTTGTGGGATCTTCGTTCCAATGTTTCCCAAGCAGCCTGATTTAGAGATGAAAGCTTGCATCTTTTGTGCCTGTCTTTCCCCAGTCTTACCTCGTTCCTGTTCTGAGCTACTGCGGCACACAAAGGAGGAAAAGACAGACATTTTACTGCAACTTCTCTGGCAAGCTGCTGGGGATTGGGAGAGGACGGCAGAGTTTTCAAAAGGGGAAGGCTGAACAGAATTATTAGGAAGCAGATCTGTGGCCTGTGGAAGAGCTCCTTTCACACCAATTTTGTATTCAGATAATAAACAATCATATTTGCCTTAGACCTAATTCCTTCTGGTATTATTGAGCATAGCCTGCACAAACCAATTAATTTAGCTTTGAAGATATGCTTTCAACAAAAAGAGTATTCATTTTCAGCTCAAGACAATCTAGCATACATAAAATGCTTCATATTTTCAATCTTATTCTTGCACAATAGAGGCCAGATTGAATCTCACTAAAAAGAAGTGGGGAAAAAATCTAAAAGCCCATTAACATAACAGGAGATATTAAAACTGACACCATGTAACTGCAATAAGAATCTGCTCTGTAAGTGCTGGGCACCTGGACAAACCTGTTGTACAATGTCCATTTTTGATGCTCATAGTGATAGGAGTGTGGTTTTTGCTAAATTTTATTAATATGAATAATAACCTCCCTGCTTGCTAACCTAGATTTACCAGCTTCCTGAAATACAAAGAAAAATCATGTCACTGCCCCCAGCAGGAAAGGAATGGATTCAGAGAGACAAAATCCCTACACAAGGATTACAGATTAATGGGGACACTTTAGAAGTTGCAAGTAGCCATAACCTGTTGTGTAGGTACCATTTCTTTCCTGCCTACAACACTTCAAATACTTCTTCTTGGACTGTTCTCTACGTGGTAATGAAAAAAAGGATAAAACTAAATAGCATGTAAAAGTCTACATACATACTGCATAGACAGGTATCAAGGAGCTGTTTTCTTGTTCCCTAGCTTCGTTTCTTTTTAACTCAGAGCGCCAAAAGATAATTTAGTCAAATCTTACATGTTATGAGGATGTGATGCCCTCTCTCATTGTAGATACAGCTAAAACACAAAAGGCTCTGTAGTAAAATTGCACCAAATCAGGTTGTTAACAAGCTATGTGCTTACTGTAAAATAAATGTCAGTGTTTCTAATCCAAGTTCCCATGCAAATTAAGTTTTAAAATCAGCCTGTTGGATGAAGGCACATGATGTTTCTAACCTTTAGAGAGGAATTAATAATTCAGTAGGAACTCTGGCAGATACTCCCACACACTGTTGGTAGGGAAGTTGGAGCTGATTGGTATTAATTTGCTTTACACAGCATCTGTCCCTAAAAGCTTAGCCAAGACCACCTCCAAGCCTTGCTTGTGGGGCAGAGCCCCTGCCACCACAGCTAGGCATGCATAAATCCTAGGGGCAGGCACACCTCAGAAGCAGTTCTTTGCTGGTACAGCAGCAAAACCCCAAATGACATGAGTCGAACCAAGACCAGGTCTCTGTTGTCATGACATCAGAACCATGCTGGGGATTTTGCCAGCAATGTGATGTCAAGAGTTCTTCACCCCCTGTCCAATAACAGGTATGACTGCAAAACTATGCAATGTAGGCCTGGCCAAATTTCACACTGGCCATCACAAACCCATAAAGAGTTCATGGCAAGCCTCAAAGGGATTTGAGCTAATAAACTGGAAAACGAAATTCTATTTCCCCATTACTAGGAGTTCCTATTTCTACAGAAATATAAGTTCTGTATAAAAAACATCTATTTCATACTATTATTAATGGGTTTGTTCCGGAGTTCTGAAATAGCGAATGAAGAACAACTGATTAAAGCGTGTCAGACGGGCCTCTGCATTTCATGTATCATACTTCTGCACTACATGGAACAACTACACATGCACATCCCTTCCTTCCCCAACGCCCTTAGGCTGCAATTTGGCCAAGACAGGACCTTGCTGGAAAGGTAGAGAAGGGACAGGGGAATGGGAGGAAGCAGATGCTGCTTGCTACAGGGAAAAGGTTCCTCTAGACCATCCATACAAGGGGGCTAAGAGCAGTTGGAAAAATACATGTTTTTTCAAGGAGATGTGTACCCGTATAACCCTGTATTTTTGTAAAAGCTCAAGAAGTATGTATCTACAGGCAGCCTTGTTCCTTTCAAACAGGACAATCCAATACAGAGTTTCAGGCAGAGACCTTCAGAGAAAATTAAAGAAGAAACACCTGATCAAGAATCCCTTTGCACACCCTAAGCCTGCTTTTAAACTGCACTAAAGCTATTATTACACAGGCCTTGTTCATGAGTTTTTATGTGGAGTAAATTCACAATAAGGCTCCTATTTGCTTTCAGTATTTATAACAGACC